GTGCCAGACTTTGTCGAGAGTTCATATGTCTGTGATCTCTCATAAGGAGGCAACACACGCCCAATAACGCTCAGAGGTCTCATGGGAGAATCAGTGAGATCAGTGCATTTCCTGTGCTCTCGGGGTACGGTGTGCTTATTGATTGCTCGTGTCTGGTTTTAATTATCCTCCAGTGGAAATGAAAGGAGAGGGGAATCGGCAGACCCTGCCAATCAATCTGATGCACAATTTGATTGAGACACTTCAAACAATATGGGCCGATCCAACCAATCAGAATGCAGGATCCTCATGTTATGGTTTGAACTTTTTTTTTTTTTTTTTACACAACAGAGGATGTTGAGAGTGTGTGTGCGTTCTAAAGAAAGCATGTCTGTTACTATTGTATTAGTATTAAATGGGAAGTTCACCCAAGAATAAAAATCATTTACTCACCCTCAAGTTGTTCTAAACCTGTATGAGTTTCTTTCTTCTGCTGAACATAAAAGGAGGTATTTGGAAAAATGTTGGTAACTAAACAGTTGCTGGTCCCCACTGAACAACTTGAGGGTAAGTAAATGCTAATAGAATTGTCATTTTTGGGTGAAGTATTCCTTTAAATATTTTGGTGCTGAAAGGTGCAGTCACATTTTGGCAAAAAATTACTATTGCAAATAGTACTGATGTATGACGTCACTTTCAAACCAAGCAGCTTTCTTTTGGTCAGTGAGGCAAATTCCCATGACCAACTTGAACCTGTTGCAAAATCTGTGTGGGAAAATCTTTAGTGAAATTCACAATTGTGTGGATTTCTGTTAAAATGAATTTGTCTGCAAACATTCGGTACAAATGTGAACAATGGTACATGTGACAGTGCCTAAACATGTCCTGCACTGTCAGCATTGATAAGCAAATTGTGTGATTTATCTGCACTATTCTTCACAATTTTTTGCCTAGTAGTGTGAGCATTGCGTTAACACTGAAAAATAGGCTTAGTGCACTATTATGTATCCAGATGACGTACTTAAAAACAAAATTTTGAATGTTGGACAGTGCCCTCCATACACTCAACAGTCATAGCTTTCAGTTCATAGTAGAAGAGTAGAGGCGAAATATGCTAATGAGGCTGACTGGAAAATGTTGAATGCTTGTTGAATGCTACTCTTCTCCACTTCATACACTAGATTCAGACATAGCGTGTAGCATAAGTACACAGTGTATAGTACATAGTTTAGGACATCAAATCTGTGTCAGCAGGTTTTCTTAACAACAAGAAACTACATGGAATCCAGTGCTTACAATTGTTATCCAGATGTGGTTTTAAATCTGATTAAATCTGAAATGCATTTCAGTTTAAATGTTAAGATTTGATTGCCAGGAAGATTTTTTTCTTTGTTCAGGATGCAACCTGTTTGTTAATGTCATACAAATATCATATGTGTATTTATGTCCAACTACACTCTTTTCAGTTTCAGTCACTTTTTCCTCATATAGGGAACTATAATGCATTCACTGTGTAGTAAACAGTTTCTTGAGCACCAAGAAAATAAGCACATTAGGATCATGTGAAACAGAAAACTGGAGTAATTGCTGTTGAACAAATTACTTTGTCATGGATGTAGTTTGTCCTCACAAAATACATTTTAAAATATATATAAATAGAAAACTTCTTTTTATAAACTGTAATAATATTTTACAATACGACTGCTGCGTTGGTGAGCATGATAGAATTTGTTTTTGTAGAATTTCTTTAACAGTAGTGTATAAATCTAGCTTTTGTGTGTGTGTGTGAAAAATAATGCATAGTGTTTTAGTGTGGTTTGCCAGTGTGAGATATTTTACGTTTGTTTTTGTAACAGCGTGTCTAGAGAGCAATTGTTGATGCTCAGTTGGAGTTTATTTGAGCGTCTCTCTTTCTCTCTCTTTCGTTCTCCACGTCTATTCATATCCTCCTCTTCAGTAACCCTCCCTCATGCGCTTCCAACTACTCAAGATTTCAGAGTGTGTAGCCAAGCCAATTAGTTCTGCGCTGATGTGTGTGTGTGTGGCAGGTTGGGTAATACTGATATACTGTATGCAGTGCAGCACCCTAGTGCTCTCCACACACAGGATGAGTCACAGGCTTGCAGTAGAGGCAGGGCTTTCCCTCGCTCTGAGCTGATGCTCAGATTTCATTCGTTTATTCGTTTTTCACAATATTATGCTTTTATCTTAAACCTTCTGTCTCACCAGAATTATCAACGTGAGACGTTCATCCAGCCACATCACATTCGCACTATTGCAGACCATGACCTCTGCTGAATGCGAAGGGAATTAACATTTGACATAGTTGATGCTTAATATGTGGAGGAAATACTCTGCATAGTTGCCTAATCTGTTGAGGATTGGCCTTGTTTTGCAGCTCGATCTAATGCTGTTAACTAACTCATTTTGAACCTTCTCTGTTGTTACTTTGAGATGTATGGCTGCACAACGGTTGCACGACAAACAAATGCTAAAATGCTTGTTATCTGAGAGTAAGTGATATGCTCATCTGGTATGTGTGGAATGAAAGCCAGTTAGGATGAAACAGGGTTTTCGCTTATCGTTTGATTGACAGTCTCTCAGGTTGAGTGCAAATGATGTTTGATGGTGTCTGTGCTTAAGTACTTGCTTTGTATGCTTGATGTTTAAAGAATGTTTTGGGATCAGTGTAAGTTCAGATCTAATGGCGGCTTCTGTCAATTAGCCTACCAGAAAATATTTTGACTGATGATCACGTAATTGATCAAATCAAACCGAAATCACACTTGCAGTAATGGGCCAATGATGTTTATTTATTACTTTTTGTCATAAAGTCAAAAATATCAAACGACTGTCTTGATAAAACATTCTCAGAACTTCAAAAGTTTGGGAAATAAGTTGCTTTTATTTAGCACGGATGCATTAAAAAGTAACAGTAAAGGCTTTTTTGATGTTACAATATTTCTATTTCAAAATCTTTTGAACTTTCTATTCATCAAAGATGAGAAACAAAAATAGGCAAGACAGCTGTTTTCAACATTGGTAATAATATGAAATGTTTCTTGGGGAGCAAATCAGCATATTAGAATGATTTCTGAAGGATCATGTGACACTGAATACTGGAGTAATGGATGCTGAAAATGCAGAATTCAGCTTTGTCATTTAAAAATTTATTAAAATACAAAACAGTTATTTTAAATTGTTAGATTGTTATTTTAAATGGTCAAATATATATAAATTTAAATTGTAATATATATATATATATATATATTACCAACGTTTAACTTTTGGTGTAGTTTTGCATAATCTTCTATTATTATTTATTTTGCTTCATTGCTTAATGAGCTAAATCCATTTGCCTGCCAAATCAAAGTCATGTAGTGCAACCACAAAAAAATAAATAAATACCTAAATAACAGGAAATTATATCATAGAGAGGACCCCTGAAGTCTCTTAAAATATGACATGGCAAGATTAGTTCAGATCGTAAAATGTCACATGGTCTGACCGTCCCCTCCCCCAACTTGTATATTAATGAATTAATAATTTATGATATTTGCATCATGAAATATTGATTAATAGATAGAATATAGTGAGCGATGAGTCGGAATGTTTTTTGTATGTTGAGTTGAGTTATACTGAGATCAAAATATTCCTTTAAAGGGTCCCGATAACTCTGGTCTCTCTCATAGTCTCACACACTATTAGCTGTTGTCCTCTGAATTAGGTTAAGAAGTTTTCTCATGCTCCTCTGTGTAATGTTGTTTCTGCAGACCATTGTAATGTGTATTTATGGGACACTGTGTGTGTTTGTGTGTGTTTCCTGTTGTCCTGTGATTGGTCAGTCATGCTGTGAGTCATATGGCAGGTCGTGGCCTTAGTCCTCCTCATGTCTGTCTGGGGTGAGTCTTCTTATCAGTCTAGACATCAGTGCTATTGACTGCTCATGTTCTAGTTATGGACTTCAGCTGCAACTATTCTCAGGCATTAACACTTGTGAAATAGAGAGAAAGTATCTAAAAGTGTTCCTCTGCCTTGATTAAACTATAAATCATTAATCTTGAAACAAATTCTCAGAGTGTGAAACCAGTGTGCTTTCGGTTTATTCTTGAATTGGAGAATAAATGACGTTTATCCAAAAATATTTACTGGATAATAAATTATGTTTTTCTGCCATCACCGTGTGATTATTTATTTATTTGCAAGGAAATATGCAACACCTTACTGCGCTTCCATAGTTTGGGGATTAAAATGGATAAAAATTTTACTAAATCTGACAAAACCTATCAGGACATTCATGAACACCCTCAGTTGGAAAACAGATGTATAAATAATCAAAAAATATATTATTAGGGCTGTCATAGTTCATGTGTTTATTAAGTATTATTATATTAATTATATTTAATGTAATATTTGTAACAAATTTCTGATAATAGAATTTGATATTTGTAAGATTAATCATGAGGATTTTAACAACAGCTGTATTTTTTGTATTTTGTCTTAAGATTTTATAGCCCTTGCTTTAAAAAAAAGTAGAAATACAAATAGAAATAAAAATAAAAATAATCTGATGATGATAATTACAGAAATAAAACAAACAAATGTACATATTTTTATGGAATCTCTCCTTATTTTGTGACATTCATTCAGGAATAGTTTGTACTAATATAAGTAGAGGTTTTTATTTCACAATTTTATCGTATTTGGGGGTTCTTGGCAACAAAAAGTGAAAACCCTTGATCTGTGGTATTTCCCTATTTAGATTTTAAGGTAAATGTGTCTGTGTGTTCTCTAAGCAGCATTTAAGGTCCTGTGAAGATCGTGAGAAACAGGACATTCCCATAGCAATCTTGGCATGAGTGTGGTGTACTCAAACTCTGCTGTATCAGCTCTCAGATCAACTCTGTACAGAAATAACTCTGTATATCTGCTGTATATGGTTTTGTTGTAGGTGTTTAGTAGTTTTGTACTGATGTCTTATTACAGAGCTGTACTGATTGATCTTCTCTTCTCCTCTGCAGTATGTGGAGAGGCGTCAATGTGAACTGTGCTGATGGCTCAGGATACACACCTCTGCACCACGCATCTTTGAACGGACACAGGTAACACTCATATTCTCCAATTCATTTACAGGTTCTTGAAAAGTGAATAACTGCATTAAGATGTAAGTTAATGGGTGCTAAATCAAATGAATGAGCTTACGCTTTCGCACACTTCAGTCTCTCCTAACGTGGTGTTATAGACTTAAAAAGGGAAAGCGCTAGACATCAGGATTACTTTATAGAGGTGTAATTTAGCTCACATACATAAGAATCAGAAGACTGTGATGTCAGATTAGGGCGGGTTTATGAACTAGGGGTGGGGTCAGATTAGGACGGGGTTTGTGAATCTCGATACAGCCAGATTAGTGTGAGGTATATGAGGTGGGTGGCGTTATATTCAGTTAATGAGGGGTTTATGGAATGAGGCGGTGTCAGATTAGTCTGAGTTTTTTTAAAGCAGGATGGAATTAGATTAGCTCAGGGTTTTAGGGTGGTTTAAACGTTTGTCATTAGAATGAGGCCAGAGTAGGAGAGGGATTTTATGTAACTTGAATTATGTATTATGATTAGAGCACAATTACCCCGTTCATATTGTGCCTGCAAAAAGCTTCAAGAAGTTAAATAGTACCAAAGAAGATTTATGAGATTTTTGGTATATAAGAATGAAAATCGGCCACACAATTACATGAAATCTTTCTTATTTGTCTTTCTCTCAGGGACGTGGTGTTGAAGTTGTTGCAGTTTGAAGCCTCTACTAATGTGGCAGACAGTAAGGGCTGTTTTCCTCTGCATCTGGCCGCATGGAGAGGTGACGTGGACATAGTCCAGATACTGATCCACCACGGGCCGTCCCACAGCAGAGTTAATGAGCAGGTACACACACACACCCTTAGTTTACCCCTCATCTTATCATAACATTTGCATATCATGCTAACTTAGCCAATACCCAGTGCAAGTCAGTTACACTATCAGTCACAAACTGACTTTGTTAACACACATCACTAGTCCTGTGGTGAACAATTAATCTGTGCAAATAAATCCAGAGAAAAAGATGTTTGTCTTCGTAGTCTTTATTCATAATCTGAAAATCCTTAACCATTCCCCTGGCACGAGATGCAGTATTGGCTAAGCTAGCATGTTGTGATAGCAGTATGCTAAATTAATGCTGAGCAAAATGTAAGCTAAAAAAAACAAAACAAAAACAAATCACAAATGTTTAATTTTACAATCTGTAGCTTTGGTAATAGATTTATATGTAACAATTTAAAAGACGTCAATGGTTGCATTAATAACTCAATTTGAACTAAACTACTTCATCAAGTAATTTGGTAACACTGTACCATAAGTTCTGATTAGTTAACGATAATTAATGCATCAACTAACATTAACTAACAAGTTAGTTAAGGTCAGATTTGTTTTGGGCCTTAGGCGGACTTGTTGGACTTGTTTCAATGGGTGAACTGAATTTTCTTGTGTGTTTGTCAGCTAGGTGGTTGCTAAGGAATTCTGTGTGGTTGCTAGGTGGTTTCTTACATGGCCACCCCCAAATCTGTAAAAAATATTCAGTTTTTTTTCAGTTTGTTTTTCAGGTACGACTTGGATTTCTTAAGTCAGTAAGTCAGTGGGATATTTTCACACATTTTGTCATGTGTCAGATGAAAATGGTACATCTGAAAAGTAATTGCACACATTTCCCTCAAAAAAAAAAAAAACCCGCCAGAATTTAAGGTATCATCTCTGTCCGAAATGGTGGAGAATGAGCTGAACTTTTAGGGGTTTGTTCAAACCTGAGCAATAACAAGCACTAGTATTGAGCGCTACTGAGCACTTTACTCTAGTCTGCTGTTAATAGTACACATTTACTAACACATAAAACATCTGTACACAGTCAACCATGCATTTGAGAAGGAACACATACACACTCTTAACAAGTTTTTGACAGTTTCAGACCTGTTCCTCGCATCTCAGCGTGCTGATGGGCTGATGGAGGGTTTGTTGAGCAGAATCAAAGCAGCTCTGTGAAAGGCCTGTATTTACCTGCAGTTAAAATGCTGTCTCATTGCAGGGAAGAGTGCTGCTCTCTCTCCTGCCATCTGCCTCACTCTTAATGACCAAACAAGCCGGAGAAACAATTACGTCCAATCTTCAGCCCTCCTCAACTCACTAAACCATCAGCTTGATGGATAAACCTTCACCGCCGGCATGAGTGCGTTTTGGAGAGACAAAGACAGTAGTCTGTTAATAATGATTAGGGTCTGTTTTTGAGTTTTCAATTCATGAAAGGAATGTTGAATTCAACTAAATTTTAGGAAATTAATTGGATTGGGCCTTCTCAAGTCAGTTATGAATGCTGCATAATCCTGACTGATAAAATTTTTTACTTTCACTCCATTTTACATCCATTTCTCTAAATGGATATGTGCAGCACTTTACGAGCAATAAGCAATGCTATAGTGATGATACATAGACCTGGACACACACACAGCCGGTGGCACGGACATTACGGCGTATATTACACTGCAGTGTGGGATGCTGAGCTCTTTATGACTTGGACATTACTCATATCCGAGTATAATATTCATATATTTCGTGTCAGAGGGTATGCTATTATTTCAGCACTGCTATGTAGAGGCTGTTTATAGCCCCATGATTTCCAGCTAGTGTTTGATAGTTTTAATGCTGACACAAACACACAAGGGTTGTAAACCCTCCAATAAGGAATGTCAAGTTGTGTGAAATTGTGTTCTGTATTGAAAGATTGGGGTGTGTGTATCTATAGATTCTATGTATGAATATTTGTTTAAGCCTCTGTGTCGTCCAGATCTGTAAATATATGCAATAAAAGCGGAGAGCTTCCATTTATCATTCTTTCATCTGAAAGGACATAAAATCAGTCTGAACACTGAATGCATTTCTGCCACGTTCATACTGAAGATCTGCGTCAAACGTACCTGCAGGTGATTTGTCACTCAAGAGATCTGCATTTTCACAGAAAATAACATGACTGTCTGTGACAGGCCCATTTTACAGCATATGACCGTATATTAAGGGAAGTCTCTGCTAATTTACTTGAAGAGTACTTACTTGTATCACTAGTATAGCTAAGTGAACAGGTTCTTGAAAGGATTGTTCACCCAAAATTGAAAGTTCTGTCAGCATTTACTCACCCTCATGTCTTTCCAAGTGCCTACTACTTTGTCTTTTCAAACACAAAAGTTGAATTTATATGCTAATAATGCAGTAGACGGCGTTTTGCTTTGTTTAAATGCATATAAAGAAGCTGTTGGTGTGTCCATTTGTAGATTGATGCCAGATTTATTGACCTATTACAGAGAGGCAAAAGCTGCTCGACTAATGAAATGGAATGAGAAAGGCCTCTGTGTGAGTGTGTGTTTACTATACTTTGGGGACAAATCTGTCAACAGAGGTAAGCCAAATCTGATGAAACCTCCTTTGGGACATTTAGGGATGTCCTTATTTGGAAAAAGTAAATAAGTTAAATTAGGGTATGGTTATTCTGTAGCAGTTAGATTAATTTTATTTTAAAGCTATTAGAGGATTCGGTTTAAAATTAAAAATTCTTATTGACCCCAAACTTTGAATATATTCAAAAATACTTTTATGTTCAAATTCAATAGGAAGTGTTTAAATAGCTAAAATTTGTGTGTTTTAGCATGTGGACATAGATCCTTAGTGGATGAGTCTGTATGTGTTTGAGAGAGAGGGAGTGTGAGAAAATGGCTAGTTTTGTGCGTTACTCAGGAATGTTTTGTTTTCTGGTTGGGAGGATGAAAGGTTACACCATTTTCTCTGACTCCAGCTCCTCTGAGCCCACAAGAGACGGCCCTCTGAATTCCTCTATGTGTTTGTGAGTCCCGGTGTCAGATCCGCCGTGTTAACACTCTCACCCAGCTCTCTTTAGCACAGGTCAGTAGTATGAGGTCACTTCCTGCGTTAGCCGAACCAGCATATGTGAGAGAATAAGTTGAACCATGTGTTTTATAGTACGATGGTCACCTTTGGACCTAGTTTCCTGTGTTTGGAATGGCATGGTGGCTCATATAAAGGAATATAATGTTGATTACCACAAAAAAGTAATTTCTATTTGTCTCTCCTTTTCTTGGAAAAAAGCAAAAATCTGGGTTACAGTGAGGCACTTTCAATTGAAGTTAACGTTTAAATGCTCACTTTCAGTAGTAAAGCCACGAGATGTAAACAGTATTCATGTTTACATGATTTTTACATGATTCAGTTTGAAAAAAAATCACCTAACTGTAAGTGCCTCACTGTAACTTCTATTTTTTTTATTTATATTTTTAAGAAAACAAGGGATGAATCTATTTTTATTTTATTATTTTATTTTATTTTATTTTGCGTCAATCAGCATTAAATGCTCAATTGAGCTTAACTTGTATTGAGCTCAGAATATTCCTTTAATTCTACAATATCGGCTCAAAGACCGAATCCACATTAAACTGCACTGGATTGTACAGGATAGCCAAGATTAATGTGCTCCTCCACACATCCTCTATCCTCCCGTGGGCTGTACTGTCTGTTTGTACATCTGCTTTAGTGCTCCACTAAGAGATGAGACTCACGGAGTCCTCATCTGTGAACAAAGCACTTTTGTTGGCTCTGTTTGTATATTTTATACTTTAATTATTTGTTTTGTGCCATTTAAAGTGCTGATCGCTTTAGACACGCCATTGCTATTATATGTCATTTCATTGATTGAATGCGAATGCCGCTTCTTCTGTTGTTTTATAATGACAGCCCATCTAGGATATTAACCAATAGGGCGTGAACAGAATGGAGTGGGAAAGCGGCCTGCTGTCTCTCTGGATATTGCACTGTCTGGCCAACATACAGATGCACGATGGAGGCTGCGCTCATAGATGCAGGAAATTACTCTGTGTGTATGTGTTTGTTTGCTGTTCAAGGCTAAAAAAGGGAGATTAAAGGAAGGAAGGCAGGGCATAGAGTATGAGAGGGAGCGATAGGGAGAGCGAGAGATATCTGTCTGTAGTTTCAGGTCTGTTTCTTTGTGCTGCTTCAGGGACTGGGAGTCTCTTATCATCATTTTCAATCATGTCTGGCTAATTAAGGAACCCATTTGCTTGAAATAAGTCATTGCAGTTAAAGTGGCCGCTCGCTGCAGTTCTCTTGTTTATTGACAGACCTGCACGAGTGCTACTTCTGTCTTCATACCACAGACATGACTGCACATTTTTCACTCTCATGGGTTTGTTGGAAGACCCCTCTAAACACACCCCCACACACACATACACATAGTCAAGAGAATGAGTGTGGTGTGCAGTAGTGGCAATAGAGGGTGCTGTTGAGTTATCTTTGGCTTATGGCCTGTTTGTTAAAGCACAGTTCCAGTTTAATTTGTTAGATTATATTCTTATTACCCTTGTAGGTTTACAGATTTTAACAAACCGCTAACTGATCATCCCACACCACCTGCAGGGAGAGCTGTGGTAATACATTTCTAAACAATCAGACTTGAAAGCCCTGGCAGTCAATGAAAAGACTTAGAGTAAAGGAGATTCCTGAGCCATATCTAGCCATATCTCTTTTTATTTGGGTCAGTAAAAACACTAGGGTTTGTCCCGATTAAAGTCTTTCCTAGTCAACCATTTAAGCCATTAGTCGACTAGTTGATATTTTATGAAATGAATTTAATCATTTCATCACTATATGATAATGACGCCGATATGAATCTGCTAATGCATTCAGATGTTTCACCTTCAAGTAATTTGTCGTTATCAGTTTTGACCAGCTGTGTTTGATTTGTCTTATCGTTAAATAGCATTGAATTTCATTCATGCAATGGAGGGATCCGATTGTGTGTAAAAACAACCTGACAATAGCCTTAGGGCAGTTGCAATGCATTATGGGACTTATTTCAGTAAGTGATTGATAGACAGTTGTCAGGGTTATATGACATGTTTTGATAATGGATGCTTCAGAGGGAATTTCTTTACAGTGCTGTTACAGTAACATCCTGTCTCTCCCTTTCTGATGTAGAACCACGAAAAGGAGACGGCTCTGCATTGTGCGGCTCAGTACGGTCACTCCGAGGTGGTCCGTGTTTTGCTGCAGGAGCTGACGGACCCCAGCATGAGGAACAGTCGAGGAGAAACGCCGCTGGACCTGGCTGCCCTGTACGGCCGCCTGCAGGTGGTCCGCATGCTACTGACCGCCCACCCCAACCTCATGAGCTGCAATACACGCAAGCACACACCTCTACATCTGGCTGCACGAAATGGCCATCACACTACTGTTCGAGTGCTGCTGGAGGCCGACATGGACGTTAACACACAGGTCAGTGTGTGTGGGCAGGACATCTTCTCCTCTAGAACTCCACACACTTTACACACACCTTTTCGCTCTAGGTCTCAGTTGTCATGCTCAATCGTGACAGAGAGAGTGTGTGAATAGTTTAAGGGCTCAAATGGATGAATAATTAATCTAGCTGTGAGAGTAAGTGAAACGCAGTAGAGGAACACTTTGTTCTCAGTCCAGGGTTTCCTCAGGCTACCCTGGTGTGTGTTTACTTGGTTATACTTTAGGGACAAATTTTGTACCACGAAGTGACCTTCCCTTTGGGAACATTTCGTGAGATCTGGGGACGTCCTCAATTGAAAAAAAAAATCATAACTAAAATATTAATTGAAAAATAAATGCAAAATGACTTGTGAGGATGTTTGGATGATAGTTTTAGGCATAGAGAATAGTAAATATTATGTTAGTATGAAATAATAATTCTATGTATGAGAGGTCCTCACTAATATAGCTTTAAAGCTTTGTGTGTTTTCTTGTTATATGGGATGTGTTTGTCTTATATGTCAGGCTATAAAGCTGTTTGTATGGAAACTGTCTTATGAGGCATTGTGTGTGTGTGTGTTTGTGTGTGTGATGGAACGCTGGAGGATTGTCTGCGTTTGAATGGTTCTGTGTGTGTGAGAGAGAATGATCAGAGGAAGCTTTGATCTAAAGCATGGATTCCCCATCCTCTTTCTCTCTCTGTCTCTAGGAGAGATACAGTACTATTTGAACACATATATATTTCAAACCGTTATAGTCACAATGCGACAAAGTGTCCTAACCAGACACGTTCCATTTGGTCTGTCCACTGTGAATGAGAACGAATATGTTTATTTATATTTAATATGTATGAAAAACACGTTCTATGTGAACAACCCTTAAGGGGATTATACACCAGACAAGAAGCGCAACACTGCATCTTTGAAATTCAAACACATTGTTTTCAATGAGTGACAGCATTAGGCATCTGTCCGTGGCGCAGGGCTATGACACAGAGCGCCACTAAATTGAATTTCCATTAAATTCCATTATGTTTGCCCTAAATCGATCTAAGTGTACATAATGTCTGTTTTTTCAAACTTCAAACTCATCATTTCCACTTTTTTCATTCTTAAAGTGAACTTTTGCCTGTTTGGTGATTAGAATCACTGTTTTGGGCTGCTGCCTTGAACTGAATGCGACGCATCCGGTGTGTAATACCTGCTGTTTTGTTTTCTTATCCACAATGAGGCATGGTGTGGTGCATTGGTTTGTGACTGGCTTTAGGGTGCATTTCAAAACGCACTGAATACATTGATTTCAATGGGAATGATGCATCAGGATGTATAGATAAAAAATAGCAGGGTGGTGTGAAAACGGAGCTCCATCTTGCAGCCAAAAATGTAGCAGGACTGTTTGGTGTAGACATTTGTTGACCAATGAGAACTTCCCAAAAAGTAGTTCCAGTTCAGAAATTTGCTGTGTTCTCACTTGATTTCAAGTTGAAAATTGATCTTTTTATACCGTTGAAGCAGATCTTGTGCATTCTTATCTGCCAAACATCCCAGATTTTTTTATTTTTTTTATTTGTAAGCACCCACAATCCCATTGGCGAGAAACAGAGAAACTATACAGCAGCCAAAGACATTCATTCAGAATCAGAAAGAAAAAGAAAGAAATTCATTGTGTACACACACTAAAAAAGCACATACAGAATGCAAGAACGCCTGGTAATGTTACAAAGACATAACCTTACTGTGAAGCGCTTTGGTCAGTCTTGTGGCTGTTTTAAATGTGTTATATAAATAAAGTAAACTTAAACTTAAACTTAAACTTTATGTAAGGGATTAAGCTTAAAATATTGACTTAAAATCATTCTCTTTCTAGACAGAGAAAGGAAGTGCTCTCCATGAAGCCGCTCTCTTCGGAAAATTTTAGCTCTCTTGTTGTTTCCATCCACTTCATGCCCAGGGTTATACATTTCTGAGGGTTGTGAAATGCAGTCTTGAGAGTTGAGGACTCCTATTACTGCTCGAAAATGTCTCTTATTGACACATGTGAAGTCTAAATCACCCTTCATCCTACAGGACAGAGGCAACATTACAGTTCTCCTCCCTGCCTCTGCGTGAAAGAATGTCAATTATAATCTACAGTCTTTGACGGGACTCAGAAACTATTGTTGTTTACAAGTTTACCATGTGGCTTGTGCAGCCAATAGTTGTTTAGAGCTACAATTACAGATATTTTCACCAACGTAAAGTGCTTTTCTTTAACCCTGTAAAACCTGACAGATGAAATAATGGTCAGAAAAAAATCTATATATTTTTAAAAATTGAACAACAACATGAAAGTTTGCATATGTGTTTTTGTTGAGCATCATATTTGATACATCAAGCTTTTATGGCCCGTTAAGTATTATATAGGAGAACATGAGGGGGCAATAATATGTCTTAGTAAGATGATATTTATAATGCAATGCAATACACTGATGATTAAGAAATGTACAAACAAACGTTCCTCAAAAGCCTGATGTATCATATTTGATGCTCACATTTTAACATGATTTTTCTAAAAATGGTGTATGGATTATCAAATAAACCCAAGTTTGCTTCAGTTCAGCAAGTGTCCATCTTGAAATGTTACTAACAATATAAAAGTTAATCGTACGTTTATTTTATAAAAAATCAGTAAAGATTTCACATTTAAAAAAAAGTGTACCACAATCTGAAGGAGACATTTTTAGAATGAAGCTAAAAGGCCTTTTACTTGCTGAAAAGTGTAAACTATCACTCAGATGACAGGAGGCATGTAACAGATTGTGTACTACAGGTTTTTCAGCAGTTTGATCTTGCTGATAATTTCTTAGAAATTAGGTGTCTTAGACATTTGCGTATCAAATATAGTACAGTAGGCTTTATAGGGTTAAACTGAGCACAATGGCACATCTCCAATGCATGTTTGTGGTTGTGCTTGTTTGTGTTCTGTAAATTAATCTCTCTCTCTCTCTAGATTTTATGATGTGGGATTGTGACAAAGGGAATTTTCACGAAGATTTAGCCCGTCAGCGTCCAATACCGACACCACGCACATCAATACCCTCACCTGTGCCCTCCCCGTCTCTACGGCATAAAAGTATGTGTAGATATATTTGAATGAAAACTAAGTTCTTAATGCATATACAGTATATATGCTATTTTAACACCTAAATGTAATTGTTCATTTACAAAAGTATACAGGCTCATCCAAATGCTCATTCTCATTCTCATTCTCTCACGTTTTTCATGTATTTTAGTGTGCAGTACGACACCCAGTGGTCAAGTTATAGTATTACAGCGCATTGTCTGCTGCTTTGTCTTCCTCTGGCAAAGGTTTTACTGTTTAATCCAGTGTTTGCACGCATAAATCCCTTAATCGATTCATCATCATGTTCTTAATAAAAAAAAAAAAAATCTTATTTTGCTACGTTTTTCATAACAGGAAAACAAATAGTGACATAAATGAGTGGATGGTTTGATTAGTGTATGTGCATTATTAAGAAAGTGCAGTCAGCAGCGCTCCTAGTGGTCAGTTGTTGCAGTGCAGCGCAGTCTCATTTGGTCCTTTTGTGGTCTGAATACTGCTTGCTGGATGTGTGTCTTTGATTCCATCTGGGGCAGTATTTTGGTAATGATCACAGGTGAGTCTGAGAGTCTGCCAGCCACAAAAGGACTGTTAGTACACATCAGCACACTGAGCCCATGCCAGAAAACAAGCATGTGTCCCAGATTAAATATTGAAAAGCAGACAAAGAGAATAAAAATAAATAAGACGGATGTTGTGATGAATGATACATTAAAAACATTTATTTAAAAGCTCTTATAGAGATTTTTGATGTGCTTTTGGTATGGTCCAGTCCCTAATTACTTGAAACTTCAATTTATTTTATTATATTGTGCTAGTTTGACAAAAAAAAAAAAAGTACATTTGTATTGCATAATTGTATGGGGGTAATATATAAAAGGGTTAAGGTAAATAAAAAAATGTACATGAATATATAAGTGTAAAAATTTCTCATTTGAATTTAACTAGTAAGAATAAGCATTTAACTATCAGGAATAAGACTAAATGAGCTCCAAAATTAGTGACGAAGATCATCACATGACACAGGTTCAAGTCTTTCATACTGTGGCAGGCTAAGATGTACTATACTGCTATCTATTAATATGAAGGGGAATTTTTCTTTCATTTTTTTCAGCTCTTCTTTCATTTAAATTCATAGTTTGCTCCCTCTCTCTCTTTCTTCTTCCCTTTGTAGATAACGCAGTAACAGGGGAGTTGTCCAAGTTGCTGAATGAAATAAAGATCTGCCGTGATAAGGATTGCTCCTTTGAGGAGCTGTGTCAGACCATCTCTTCTCACTCTCAGTCCATGGAGAGCTTCGGCAGTGGGCGGCTGTCTGACGAAGAACAGAACGGCACTCTCACTCGAATAAACAAGGTGTGCACTGAGAAGGAAATGCAGTAGAGTAAATGGCTTTTTTGCTGATTTTGAACAGTTTTTATGCAGTTAAGGAAGTGTTTTTATCAGATTACACCCCTTTAAAATATATTTTAAAAAATGTTGTTCAAGAAAATGAAATCAATGACATCAGACCATCAATAACAACAAGAAGTCCTAATAAGCTTTGAATAATGAACAGCATTTCTCTGTTGATGCAGTACCTCACTATGGCCAGCAGAGGGCTAAACACTGTGTGTATTGCTGGGTATCCCTTCAATTTATATAATCTCATAAATACATATTTATAGCACTAAAACAGACCCCGATTTAATCACTGATGTTATTTAACTCAAACAGAATCATATTTTTGATGTGGCTTCATCACATTGCTGGCTTAGGGAGTGAATTTAGCTTTATGTAAGGGACAGAATGCATTAGGAAAGTGTGTAATGGAATGGTCATTTGCTGAAGGGGTGTCATGGTTTAGCTGTCACAGTGACCACTGGATCACGGTTTGCTCCACTGCGTTTCTTTGATCAATACAATTAAACATGGAGTCGGGTCAATCAATCAAAGTCTGCAGAGCCCAGATAAACAAGCAAAGACACAATGCACACAAACACTCTTCCGAGTCAATTCCAGTCACGTCAAAAACTCCTAAGTCTTCACTGAAGGGATTGGAGTTGTTTGCAAAGTCTATAAAAGGATTCTGGGAACAATTACTGCCTGCCGGTCACAAAACTGTTTTTTTATTTTTATTTAAAACAGCATTATCTAATTAACATTGAAATGTTTTGTCTGTTTCAAAGGAATTATTTAGTTATTTTTCCTTTGCATACTTGCAGCAAACGATCTTTTTTTTTTTTTTACATACTGGTGTCATAAAATAAATAGACGTCATATTTATATATATATATATATGATACTTGGATATGGTCAAAATTTCAGTTTTTGTGGCCTAACACTAGGAATGTGTTTCTATATTGAATTCTGGAGTTATAAAAAAAAATATTTTTCAGTAAAAAAGTCAGAATGGGTAATTGAGAGTCAGACTATTATTCTCACACTCCTTCCCTGTGTACAGCAGCATTATGGTTGCTATGCTAATCTTGGAGGCTTGCCTTAAAGCATGTTTGAAAATGATGATTGGCTCTTAAAATTGTAAGCGTTAAGATTTCTTGTACTCGTTTCTCTCTGAGTTGTCTGTCTCCTCCCCCTTATGCAGTATCTGACTTATTTTAAGCTTGTGTCATGTTGGTATGAGCTGAGATCTGTATCTGTACCTGTGTGTACTACTCTTGACTGTGTGTAACTGTATGCATATCTCTCCACCCGGCTGTAGCGGCCCACTCCCCCATTGCCCCCGGCGATGGAAGAGGAGGAAAAGAGTTGCGGACCATCAGGCCTGTGGAAGGCGCTCACTCCCTGCAACGGCTGCAGAAACCTGGGCTTTTCTCAGGTACACACACACACACTCACACTTCCCAGCCTTATAATGCAGCAATGGACCCCTTAGTGGATAATGAATTTGTAAAAGATATTAAAATGTAAAAAAAAAAAATATACTGAAACCAGTCAATTAATACCAGGAGGTTAAAATAATGTAATATTTAATTTGGGTAATGAATACTTTCACAATATATCTGCATACTTTATGATGCAAACTTAATTTCTGTATTTCTGTTTACCATTTTATTTTAAAATATTTTACTACAAGGTGTTGAATTGGTTTATGGCATCCTCTTCCTATTATTTCGCTCATCAAAGCTTTTTAAATGTGTTGATTTTAATATTTATATTCATTCTTATTGCCAAATGCAAGATACAACTGGTACATCCTTTGTTTGAAGTGTCATGTTGCTATGGAAACTTTAGCCAATTAACCACAAAGGTCTTCAAAGACTTCCTAGGCATCTAAAAAAAATTAATTTTTTATCTTTAATTCTGATCGTGGTTGAAAAGATGGATAAGGAAATGTTAATAGTTGGATTGAGGGTTTAGAAGGCTTTCATAATGCCAGAATGAGCAAGAGGGATTCCCGTCCCTCAGACAGGAAGTCTTGATTATCCCACAGGAAGTGTAATCGTGTCACATGCTGATCCGCCCACCTGCGCCATGTGAGGAGACCTCCCGCTACCATGGAAACAGACATAGTGAAGGTGCCAGCAGGCTGGGGGAGGGGAGACTCCAGCTCCAGTAAGAGTTGGGGTTCCTTGGACTGCGAGTCATACTTCTGCACCCGCAAACCAATCCTGAACTCCGTCACTGGCTCTCCTCCGCAGGGAGAGAGATGCACGCAGATTCCGAGCAGTTCTCGTTGTTGCTAGGAGACACAGAATTCATAAAGTGCAAGGCGTGGGATATCCTCCCACTTCCCAATTGACAGATCTGAGTCTCCATCAAAACAGGTGCGTCACAGCACTGCGCAATAACATCCAGAGAAAACATCCAGAGATAGAGGGAGAGAGAGAGACTGGCTATCGGCCTCTGCTTTCTCATTCAAGCTGTTCTCCAGCATTCCTCTGCCTCCCTTTTTTATTTTTCTATCCATTCTTGTTTTCACCATTCGTCTTTTCCTGTTACGTCATGTATTTGTGTATGTAAAATCGGAGCTGTTCATTTGTATTTGTTTTCGCACTGTTTTTTCCCGCCTCTATTCCAAATGCTGCAGTCAGCAAACGTGCTTGTTTATGCCGAAAACGTCTTGTGATTTCAGATCAGAGTAAACACTCCCATCAGTAGCATCTGCTTTGTAATGGTTTTCTCTGCGGATGAAATTACTGTTTACAAACAAACACTCTGCGGTGACACTTCTGGATTGTTTTAGCACCCCAGAAAAGAGCTGTTCTAGGTTGGGACTTCAATGTATTTGAATTGTAAATGACCAAAAAATGCTCCACAATATATACAGGTATATGTGCTATGGCACGTGTTGACTCTTTGTGCATAGATATATATGACAATAAAAATCATGCAATGCTGATAAAATTCTTGCGTTAATTCTTAATGTAGTTAGTAACTTTTACTCTCAATGGTTAGGTCAAAAATTGCTAGTTAGATGCTAAAATATGTATTTAAAAAATAAAGACAAATATTTTTATCGCATTTTAATTATAAATCAGGTATTACTTGATAACTTTTGCTTTATTCTTTTTATTCTTATTATACTATATATATTAAGAATATGCATTACTGTTGAAAAGTTTGAGGTTGCAGTAAGCAGGTGTTTTTTTTTTAAGAAATTAATCATTTTATTCAGCAATGACACATTAAATCAATGCAAAAGTGACAGTGAAGACATTTATAATATTACAAAAGATTTCTGTTTTCACTAAAAGCTGTTCTTTTGAACTTTCAATCTAAAATCAGTGTTTCCACAAAAAATTAAGCAGCTTGTTGTCTTGATAATTTAATCTATTGTTATCCTCAGTTTGCATTAAACATCTATTATGCCCAAATGAATGCATTCCATTGCTTTTACTGGAGCAATTTGGTAGGTCTTGTCCAGCTTGGTGACTTTGTGCTCTTACAAAAGCCACTAATTATGGCTAATTAATAGCTCTGGGAAGTGAAGTTTTTCATGCGTATTGTCCATTTTAATTGAACAGAATGGCTTTATGTGTGTGTGTGAGTTTGTATTAGAGTAAATTTACGTCCCTGGCTCTCACTGACTGCCCAGTGTGATTTAGGAGTCGAGCCGGGCCGCTGCTTGCTGTGTTTAATAGATCACTCTGAAAACAGTGCCGGGACAAGAATCCTAAATGGCTGCTTGTATTTTATGAGCCGTTTAGAGCCAAATGCAGGAGATACAGCGAGGATAGGTTATACTGCATATAAATATACAGCCTTCATAAAGCCTTATTAATGGATGAGTTATACAAACATAAAGTTGTTGTAAGAGTGATTTCAGTCATTTATTTACCACCAAGCGACAAGCACAACAAAATGCTTTTGTTAGTGCAGTTGTGCTCTTGTGCTCAATTTTGTGGGGCATTAAAACTGTATAAATGACCACCACGACTACTTCCACTGTTCTTGGTGAGCTTCGATGTCGTCTCTGAATCTCCACGTTGGAAATCATTGTTGTTGAGTGCTTGGATTACTCACACGGGCGCTTTTGTTACACTGTGATAATATAAAGGAAAGCCATGACTGTTGTTATTCCAAAGCAGCGGGCTCCCTCGAGTGATTGCATTAAATGTTTCCTCTGTCATATTTGTTTTAATCTTCATCCTCCTTCTCCTCCTTTCCCACAGTGTGGCATAATCTCTTTTGTATATCCGTGACTCATGTTTAAAATCTCAGAACCCCAACGGTGGCTTCATCTACCAATAAGGTTTCCGCACTTCCTCCTAGGTGCTGAGAGATAATTAGGGCAGCTAATGAATGTTAACTTCTCGCAGGCTGTGCGTGATAAGATGATGACGGTTTGTGCTGCATAAGAAAGTTCTCATGAGGGCTCAAATCTCAAAATGCCTCCGGTCTCCCTACTGGCCTTTTGTGAGTGTGTGTGGTTAACTAGCTTAGTTTTTTCCTTCTGGTCTTGCTTTTTTTTTTTTTTAGATTATCTGTCACTTTCTCGTCACTCTCGCATTTTATTCGTTTAAAAAGTTCACAATTAATGCCAGTTTTTTTTCTTCCAGGAAAACAGAATGAAACCGCTGATGACTCATCCTGCACTAAACGGATTGTTTGTCCAATCAGAGGCTCTATAAAATAAGAATGCCTCTAGTTGTAGTAATTAGCAAGTGGGGAAACATTGTGTATTTTATTTGTTTATTTTAATGATAATTTTAGCAAAAAGAATTCATCAGACACTAAATATAGGTAAAAAGCTAAATGTAGCTTTAGACATTACAGACTCAATTAAATCAAAATTGAGGCTTTTAATCTATGCCTGTTAGATTTGAAGCCACCCATGGCTTATTTTATTTTATGTCATTTCATGTCATGTCTGTCAGCTTTGAAACCATTTGTATGTTAGTTTTCTTTTAAAAGTTCACAATTAATGCAGTTAATGTACCTAAATCTCATTGGCTGTTTTTAATCCCTTCAATTATGCCTTGCCCCAATTTCTTGTTTCAATAGGAAATATGTCAAAACATGAAATAAATCTGTAATACTCAAGTGGTTTAATAGAGTCTGCTAGAAAACCCAAACTTTTTTTCCATTTATTGTCATAATGTCAGGACTCTGAAACAACAAAAACATAAGGAACAAAATAATGATGGGTCTTGCCGTTTTGATGGGAATTGTGACAAGTATTGTTTTATAAAGAGACTGGCTAAGGATGCTACAACACAATAGTCAGCCCCAAATATACTGGGGATTTTTTTCAAGTGATGACATTTATATAAAAGCTGATTAATATTCTTAGGCTAATCATCATTAAAAGGTGTGACAAAAGGTTAATTTGACCTGCAGATGTACCCTTCTGTATTTTCTCATCCCTTTGGATTGAGCCAGTGAGCTGAGGGAAAGTGTACCAGAGTTCATTACATCAGAAGCAGGGGCTCAATGTGTAAAGGTGTTTAATAGGAGAAGGGAACAACAGTAGTCGTGCATTTTTATGAAAGTCAGAAGTCATTTCTAAGGGATTTCCATTTCTGTCTGCTAATTTTCTCTTTTCTCCCTGAATTCTCTTTCCCCAGCTCTGTTTTCTCTCTCTTTCTATCATCTCTCGCACCGTTATATATCAGGCAGAATGAGATTATTTTGGCTGGAAGTCTTTTAGTGAGAAAATGGTCTTGAACAGGCTACTTTATCTTGCTGATGTTATTTGTAGTTCCTTCGTTTCTCCGCTTATTGTTTGTTCGGTTTATAATGAAGCCTCGCTGTGGAGCATATTGCAGCAAAATTGTGTAAGCCGGAGGCTCGTCTGTATCAATGAACTTTTGTGACTTCCTTCCCCCCACTGGTACCATCTCTGCATGCAAAGCCCTCCTCTAAAGCACATGACCAAACTTATCTTCCCTCTCTCGATTTATATCAATCCCTCTATCTGTTCTGAGAAGGTCTCTGAGGGCCTTTTTATGCTGTGGGGTCCTCCTCCAAAATATGCAGAGCTCAGATTAGAAAAGCACAGGAAATGACAGTGGCCATTCAGATCAGATACTGTATCAACTGAGAAACAGCAGTGACAAAACCAAACAAATGTGACGAAAACCAAAGCGAAAAGAGCTGATTAAAGAAGAAAATGAGAAAGGGAGAAATACAGGAGTGAAGCCGGCTGTAAAGTCTGTCAAGCCCCAGTCACATGTGTGGCTGAAGATCGCAGACGTGACTGAGGGCCGTCCAGGCAGATTTCCTATTTGGATCCGAGTGCAGCAACTGCAGCCCTGCATCAGCACGCTAATTACTGACCTGAACCGCTTCTGTTTGTTTTGTAGTCTTCCTATTCAGAGAAAAAAAAATGAAGTTCCTGTCTCTGCTTTCAGAGAGAGGCAGAGAAACAGAACAAGAGCTGTAGTGTCCTGGGACAGTCAGGCGCAGCAGGGCCATTTTGTTCGTATGCTGAAGAGTTGAAATTTTTACAGTCACTGTGAAGAAATCAGGATCTGCAAGAGATAAACAGGTACTGATATATTTTATCGTAAGTGTGGAGTCTATGCTTTGTGTGTGTATGAGCTTGGTTAGAGATTGGTGACAAAGTTGTCCGTACAAGAGGTCTAAATTTGACAAATAGTATTATTGTTTTTTAAATGAGTATGAACCTAATTATCAAAATTCTGTATTTAATTATTATTTCATTATATAAAAATATATTAAGGTTACTATATTGTTTATTGCTATTATCATCATTGTTGTTATTTATAATATTACTTATATTAATATTATTTAATTAATGAATGTGTTTATTTATTACGTGGTTGTTTATTAAATATGTTTAATGAATAATTATTTATTTAATTTTTCCAATTCTAAAAATGCTAAAAGTTGTCTTCTGGGTTAAGGGGTATGTTAGCAGTAATTACTTCATAGTCATATTAGTTCATCAGCAGTATAACTGGATAATTATCATCCATAAGTTTGCTGTAGTTTTTTTTTCTTGTTCTATGTGGCCAGTGGGTAGTTTCCTGTCTAAGTGTGTGCATGCTAGCGTACAAAGCAGGAAACCACTGATTCAAAACCCGGCCATTTCCCCTCCTTCCTGCTCTCGAAGTATTTTCCTCGGCGTGTGCCCGACTCCTCTCTCGTGCCCCTCCACGCTATTTAAACTGACAAAGACTGAAAAAGTCCAAAAGTAAGTTCTTGTGAACACGGCTTTGATCTCTCTCCATCTTTCTCTCTTTCTCACCTCTCTATTTTTCTGTCTGTTGATTTCTCTGTGTGGCTCTCTGGAGGGCCTCTGTTCTTCCTGACTGGAGCTCTATTGAGTGTGGCTCAAATGAAGAGAGAGGGGAAAACGATCATTAGAGGAAGTGGGAAAAGAGGAGAAATGTGCAGATAGTTTGCATGGACAGGGGCAATGGAAGATGAGATAAAGATCTGAAGGCACATTTCCAACCACCTAGCAACCACTCAGAATACCCTAACATCATGGAAGCTACCTTTGCAAGCACCACTCACAATTTCTTCTGAAAACATAAAAAACTAGCTGTAAAACATAACCACAGAGAACACCCTGGCAACCACTCATAAAAATCACCATTTCGTAATGGAGATGACTTCTTAACCACTTAGCAACACCCTATTGAACACAATGAAGACCCTTAACACAACAACCACAACAAACACTCAATGCCTTAACACTCAAAGTAAGCAATGCCTTAGCAACTACCCACAACAATCTAACATCAAGGAGGCAACATGCACAGACAAGCACCACTCACAATCAGCTATCAATGTTCTTGTAATTAGCCATACCACTTCAATAACCACAGTAAACACCCTAGAAATGCCCTGGTATGACAATCAGCACCATAGCAGCTATCTAGCAACACCCTGGCAACTACCTACAACAATGTAGTGTCATGGAGGCAACTTTTGCACTGGCAAGCACCACTCCTGCTCACTGCTGTAAGCTTCCTTTTTGCACAACCCTTTGATTCACAAGTAGAAATGGCTTTGTGTTTATGAATAACCATACCATACGCTGAACCACATTTATATATGTTTTAAACCACCTGTGTCTGAGTGTGTATGGAGAGTGAGTTTTGGAAGAAGTGTTTAGTTTACTCTTAACCAAGACCTGATCTTAAAGTGTCTGTATGGAATCAACTGAACGGCTGTATCGTAGACAGAGAATGAGACAAAGGTCTTTCTTTCAATCCTGTGTGATAAATCGCCCTGCCCCTGTGCCCGGTGCATGATGGATGTGTCTAATGCTTGCTGGGTGATGCAGGATTTGGGACTGACAGGTAGAGTACACAGGTAGAGTAATAGATTTCTGAGAAGAAATCGATGGTTCATGGGAAATAAGTGAAAGTGACATGTGGCGACCCATACTCAGAATTAGTGCTCTGCATTTATCCCATCCAAAGCGCACACACACAGCAGTGAACACACACACACACACACCGTGAACACACACCCGGAG